TACGTGTGCAGCCACAAGCCATTATGGGCTCTGGCATAGTTGACTAAGTTGTGCGAACTCTTATAGTGGTATACTAGCAGATGTAGGGGATGTAGGTGGTACGGTCTACCCGATCATAAGGTGCTAGCGCTTCTGAAAGACTGTGTCTCGGTCATCCGTTTCTCAAACACCATGTAGTGCGAGAAATCCAACGGAGGCGATCGAGTCTTGTGGGGAAAAGTGCGCAAACCTCTGCAGAGTGTATAAACTAATCATGGTTAGCCGTGTCCCTGGTTATGGACATCTTGAGTATCTGGTACCTGGATTATCATGTGAATCTCAACATGTTACCCTAAAATTAATATTGTTGGGTTTTAATGATGTTACTTAATTAGGATTGAGAATGCTGTCAACCATTCTCAATGTTTCACAACCACCATGATAGTAATTAAATTTATTCCTTTGAAGTAGGGAAAAATTGGCTTTACGCAAAAACTGTAACCATAGAGCTTTCCACCAGCCAAATATGCATATAGTATAGCTGTTGCATTTCCATTATTCTCTATGTGTTACCTTGCCAGCATATTCCATGTGCTGACCCGTTTTCGGGCTGCAACGTTAATGTTGCAGACTTTTCAGACGACGATTGAGGAGTTTTAGGTCGTGGTTCTATACTCAGTGATGCCGTTGGAGTTGATGGACTCACTTATCTTCCAAGCCTTCCGCTGTTATCGTTATTAGATGGCCTTAAGCATACTTATTGTAATAAGTTCTCTTTTGAGACACTCGATGTAATAAGTGTGTGATTGCTACTCTGCTATAAATCCTCCGAGTACTATGTGGTGTCAGCATTACTGATCCAGGGATGACACCGGAGCACAGAGATCAGACTGTTTGAGGTCTGGTCGCTACATGCAATAAACATGATCCAATCATATTCGTGCTCAACGCAAACACTAAATAACATTTATTTTAGGTTTAACACTAATCCCGAAAGTATAGAGAGTGTGTGATGATGATCATATCAATCTTGGAACCATTTCCAATACACATCGTCACTTCACCCTTAACTAGTCTCTGTTCATTCTGCAACTCCCGGTTCGAGTTACTATTCTTAGCAACTGAACCAGTATCAAATACCGAGGGGTTGCTACAAACACTAGTAATATACACATCAATAATCTGTATATCAAATATACCTTTGTTCACTTTGCCATCCTTCTTATCCGCCAAATACTTGGGGTAGTTCCGCTTCCAGTGACCAGTTCCTTTGCAGTAGAAGCACTTAGTCTCAGGCTTAGGTACAGACTTGGGCTTCTTCACTTGAGCAGCAACTTGCTTGCCGTTCTTCTTGAAGTTCCCCTTCTTCCCTTTGCCCTTTTCTGGAAACTAGTGGTCTTGTTAACGATCAACACTTGATGTTTTTTTTGATTTCTACCTTCGTCGATTTCAGCATCACGAAGAGCTTGAGAATCGTTTCCGTTATCCCTTGCATATTATAGTTCATCACAAAGTTCTAGCAACTTGGTGATGGTGACTAGAGAACTCTGTCAATCACTATCTTATCTGGAAATTAACTCCCACTTGATTCAAGTGATTGTAGCACTCAGACATTCTGAGCACATGCTCACTAGCTGAGCAATTCTCCTCCATCTTGTAGGCAAAGTACTGTCAGAGGTCTCATACCTCTCGACACGGGCATGAGTATGAAATACCAACTTCAACTCTTAGAACATCATATATGCTCTGTGGCGTTCAAAACATTTTTGAAGTCCCGGTTCTAAGCCGTAAAGCATGGTGCACTAAACTATCAAGTAGTCATCATACCGAGCTTTTGTCAAACGTTTATAACGTCTGCATCTTCTCCTGCAATAGGTCTGTCACCTAGCGGTGCATCAAGGACATAATACTTCTGTGCAGCAATAAGGTTAATCCTCAGATCACGGATCCAATCCACATCATTGCTACTAACATTTTTCAACATAGTTTTCTCTAGGAATATATAAAAATTAAACGGGGAGCAACATCGTGAGCTATTGATCTATAATATAGATATGCTAATACTACCAGGACTAAATTCATGATAAATTAAAGTTCAATTAATCATATTACTTAAGAACTCCCACTTAGATGGACATCCCTCTAATCCTCTAAGTGATCACGTGATCCATATCAACTAAACCATGTCCGATCATCACGTGAGATGGAGTAGTTTCAATGGTGAACATCACTATGTTGATCATATCTACTATATGATTCACGCTCGACCTTTCGGTCTCCATGTTCCGAGGCCATATCTGTTATATGCTAGGCTCGTCAAGTTTAACTTGAGTATTCCGCGTGTGCAACTGTTTTGCACCCGTTGTATTTGAATGTAGAGCCTATCACACCCGATCATCACGTGGTGTCTCAGCACGAAGAACTTTCGCAACGGTGCATACTCAGGGAGAACACTTGTACCTTGAAATTTAGTGAGAGATCATCTTATAATGCTACCTCCGAACAAAGCAAAATAAGATGTATAAAAGATAAACATCACATGCAATCAAAATATGTGACATGATATGGCCATCATCATCTTGTGCCTTTGATCTCCATCTCCAAAGCATCGTCATGATTTCCATCGTCACCGGCATGACACCATGATCTCCATCATCTTGATCTATATCAATGGGTCGTCACATGGTCGTCTCGCCAACTATTGCTCTTGCAACTATTGCTATCGAATAGCGATAAAGTAAAGCAATTATTTGGCTCTTGTATCTTATGCAATAAAGAGACAACCATAAGGCTTCTGCCAGTTGCCGATAACTTCAACAAAACATGATCATCTTATACAACAACTTATATCTCATCACATCTTGACCATATCACATCACAACATGCCCTGTAAAAACAAGTTAGATGTCCTCTACTTTGTTGTTGCAAGTTTTACGTGGCTGCTATGGGCTGAGCAAGAACCGTCCTTACCTACGCATCAAAACCACAACGATAGTTTGTCAAGTTAGTGTTGTTTTAACCTTCTCAAGGACCGGGCGTAGCCACACTCGATTCAACTAAAGTTGGAGAAACTGACACCCGCTTGTCACATGTGTGCATAGCACAGCGGTAAAACCAGTCTCGCGTAAGCGTACGCGTAATGTCGGTCCGGGCCGCTTCATCCAACAATACCGTTGAAGCAAAGTGTGACATGCTGGTAAGCAGTATGACTTATATCGCCCACAACTCACTTGTGTTCTACTCGTGCATATTACATCAATGCATAAAACCTGGCTCGGATGCCACTGTTGGGGAACGTAGTAATTTCAAAAAAATCCTACGCACACTTAAGATCATGGTGATGCATAGCAACAAGAGGTTAGAGTGTGTCCATATACCCTCGTAGACCGAAAGCGGAAGCGTTATAACAACGCAGTTGATGTAGTCGTACGTCTTCACGGCCCGACCGATCAAGCACCGAAACTACGGCACCTCCGAGTTCTAGCACACGTTCAGCTCGATGACGATCCCCGGACTCCGATCTAGCAGAATGTCGGGGAAGACTTCCGTTAGCACGACGGCGTGGTGACGATCTTGATGTTCTACCGTCGTAGGGCTTCGCCTGAGCACCGCTACAATATTATCAAGGATTATGGTGGAGGGGGGCACCGCACACGGCTAAGAGATACAATGATCAATTGTTGTGTCTATGGGGTTCCCCCTGCCCCCGTATATAAAGGAGCAAGGGGGGAGGCGGCCGGCCTAGGAGGAGGGCGCGCCAAGGGGGGAGTCCTACTCCCACCGGGAGTAGGACTCCTCCTTCCCTTGTTGGAGTAGGAGAGAAGGAAAGAGGGGGAGAGGAACAAGGAAAAGGGGGCTGCACCCCTTGTCCAATTCGAACCAGAGGGGGGGCGCCTCCTTCCTTTTGGCCTCTCTCCTCTATTCCCGTATGGCCCAATAAGGCCCATATACTCCCCGGCGAATTCCCGTAACTCTCCGGTACTCCGAAAAATACCCAAATCACTCGGTACCTTTCCGATGTCCGAATATAGTCGTCCAATATATCGATCTTTACGTCTCGACCATTTCGAGACTCCTCGTCATGTCCCCGATCTCATCCGGGACTCCGAACTCCTTCGGTACATCAAAACTCATAAACTCATAATATAACTCTCATCGAAACCTTAAGCGTGCGGACCCTACGGGTTCGAGAACAATGTAGACATGACCGAGATACGTCTCTGGTAAATAACCAATAGCGGAACCTGGATGCTTATATTGGCTCCCACATATTCTACGAAGATCTTTGTCGGTCAAACCGCATAACAACATATGTTGTTCCCTTTGTCATCGGTATGTTACTTGCCCGAGATTCGATCGTCGGTATCTCAATACCTAGTTCAATCTCGTTACCGGCAAGTCTCTTTACTTGTTCCGTAATACATCATCTCACAACTAACTCATTAGTTGCAATGCTTGCAAGGCTTTAGGTGATGTGCATTACCGGGAGGGCCCAGAGATACCTCTCCGACAATCGGAGTGACAAATCCTAATCTCGAAATACGCCAACCCAACAAGTACCTTCAGAGACACCTGTAGAGCACCTTTATAATCACCTAGTTATGTTGTGACGTTTGGTAGCACACAAAGTGTTCCTCTGGTAAACGGGAGTTGCATAATCTCATAGTCATAGGAACATGTATAAGTCATGAAGAAAGCAATAGCAACAAACTAAACGAGCAAGTGCTATGCTAACGGAATGGGTCAAGTCAATCACACCATTCTCCTAATGATGTGACCCCGTTAATCAAATGACAACTCATTTCTATGGTTAGGAAACTTAACCATCTTTGATCAATGAGCTAGTCAAGTAGAGGCATACTAGTGACACTCTGTTGGTCTATGTATTCACACATGTATTATGTTTCCGGTTAATACAATTCTAGCATGAATAATAGACATTTATCATGATATAAGGAAATAAATAATAACTTTATTATTGCCTCTAGGGCATATTTCCTTCAGCCATCCCTTTCCTCTGCTAGAGGCGCTGCACTCTGAAGCAGTGAATCCAGGCTGGCATGGACGTGTTCGTAGCATGCATCGCTAGCGTCCCCCATCCTCACAACTTCCATGGCTTTGAAGTACAGCGTCGCATGCCTAAACGTAAATGACCAATTCTGTGAATTGTCCTTTTGGTATTGCGCCAGGTGATCAGGGAGTATATCCCTTGCGTCTCTGGGCCCCGTTTTAGGATGTGGTGTTTTGGAATCTCTTCCAGATGAAGAATTTCCATAACCTGCAAGCCAAGAACAATAGGCTCAGCGTGGGTGTTTGCAGGAATTGAGTTTCATTTTTTCAAGATTTTCCATACTAGGTGTTTTCTGTTCGCTTCTTACCCTCAAAACATGGCTGCAAAGCATTCCAGTGTGATTAAACTGGCCGCACTCGCAGTTGAATATTGTTTTTTCTTCGTTCATGGTCACCTCGTACTTGATCCTACTCCACTTTTCCCTTTTTGCTGCATTATTGTGGGTTGTCCTGTATATTCTCATCCTCTCCACTTTCGTAACATTGTAAGCAGTTCCTTCCATCAGTAAACGCCCAAATTCCTCAAACATGTTCCTGGTGTATACCTTGCTAGCATGTCGCTCTATTGCAAGATTAGTCCGCCTCACCGCACCGCCCTGCAAGTAATACAACAAGGAAAAGAGAGATTAAATCAAAATGAATTGATCAGTTCCATGTATTGTAAGAGGCTTTTTGTATTGCCTAAATACCACTAAGGACAGATGGTCAAAGTGCACTCACTATCATCGTCCTCTTTTCCTCATAGCTTTCCTCGCGTTCGCGATCAAACTGTAGCTTCATGTATTGTCTGACGAAAACGTGCATTGGGCTGGTTGGGGGCATATAAGACTTCAACATGTGGTTTGCACTCTCACTCCTTTGCGTGCTTGTCATTTTTGCGCAGAACACTCCTCTGAAATATGGTTTTGCCCACTTCCGCCTAGTCTCATATATTTGGGTCATGTAGCTATGGTTCATCAAGCTGTACTTATCTAGCAGCGCCTCCCAAGCTGTTTCAAATTCCTCCTCAGTTAGCATGTGGTTAACAACTTTGTGGAATTCTGTCTGAAAATCACTCTTCTTCGTGTATAAGGGCCCTAGTGTCTCTTTCGCCTTCTTCAGAACGTGCCATTTGCACCAACGGTGCACCGTGTCTGGATATGTCTTCTTGATTGCAATCTCCATAGCCCTGCATTGGTCTGCACAAGAAAAAGAAGCATTCCAAAATCAAATAAGTCCGTCGATAATGAAGAAAAATTATGAAGACAGATTGAACAGAATCTTTCTTTTTCTGTTTTGCTGACCACTCTGACCTGTAAGTATTGTTTTTGGCGGAGGTCCACCCATAATACGTACAAATTCCTCGAACACCCATTCAAAGCTCTCTTCCTGCTCATCACGCATCAACACCCCCACAAAGATAATACTCTGGTAGTGGTTGTTGACTCCGACAAATAGGCCAAATGGCATATCATATAAGTTTGTCCTATAGGTGGTGTCAAAAGTCACAATGTCGCCAAAGAATTTGTACTGCATCCTGCTGTTCCCGTTAGCCCATATCAGGTTCTTAACTTTGCTGTCTTTCTCGGCTAACACCACATAGGAGAATCCGGGGTCATTTGCCCGGATGTCAGCAAACGCCTGAAGTGTCTTCCGAACGTCGTCTTCAGCCTGTTCATGGATAATCTTGCCACATATATTCCTGAGTGTCCTCTTCGTGAAGGGGACCTTTTCCACAGACCCAAAAAAGCTCCCAATGATGCTGTACACTTTTCCCAGATTAACATTGTTTTCCCTCAGCTGCTTTATCAAGTCTTTGGTGTAAACATCTATATGCTTATGAGATGGCCAGCGCACTTTTTCTCCCATTGTCAGCGACATGGAATGGTTATGACTTGCTCGATGCTCTGTGATGTACCAGCTGTTGTCGGATGCACGCAATAGCCTTATCAGAGCTAGGCACTCACATCTACACGACCGACTGTTTTCAGTCTCCGGTTTTCCCTGCAGGCCATGAAGCAAACATGTAAGTACACGTGTTCTCTTATAATCCAAGAAACAATATGCACTGAACCAACCAAATAAAATGTTACATCTGCAATTTGGTTCAGCTTATTTGTTGTATGAAAACTAGTACTCACCGAGCAACCACATACTATTTCGTGCATACTTTTAGTCCTCTCGGCGTTCAGTCTTCTTTTTCCATATCTTATCCCAAAACCCACTTCCCACGAGTACAGGTTATAGAAATCATATGCCTCTCCCAACGAATCGAAACTAAGTCCCGGCTCTGGTTTAACGACGCTCTTATCAGGTTGCTCTGCATACTTCCGGATTGAAATTTCTAGTGCGCTCATCCTCGACGGGCAAGGCACCCAGTCAGGTGGTGCACTTCCGAGCCGGAGCCTGCATATTAAGAACCAAAAAGGGGGTAATGTAGTTAAATTCTGCAATTTGTTCAAAATGAAGCGGAATGATTTTACTGTCCATTTTCTTTTTGAAATTTCTACATTTTGATTGTTTTGTCAGTCCTACAGCATACAAGTAAACAATTGACACCGGGGTTGTTAACAAACCCCACAACCGTAGGCGATGGCCCATGTATTTACATTATATACCTTCATTTTTCTTCTTTGTGTTTAATTTTCTGTGTAAGTTTCACATTTCTTGGGGACGTAATCATAGTGCTTGTCATTTTATAATCTACACCTGAAGGCCATTACATTATCACTATTGTTGGGAATGCCTTTTAAATTCACTTTCCCAGTAAGCATGTCGAAGTCATAGTAGGTTCCCTTTTGTGAATCATTTTTTTTGCATAGACAAAAATATGTATGGTACGCATTTAACAGTAATCTTCAGTTCGAAGTGCAAACAGCAGAGTGCAGTTATCACCTTTTCGTCCAACCGGGGGCTTGTGGATTCACTCTGCCTGTTGATTGAGCATACCTTGTTGGAGATTCAGCTCGCAAAGAGTCGCCAACTTGTTGCGTTGCGGCTGCTGCTCCTACATCCTCCATTTGAGATTGCTCAGTGACGCCATTGTCCTCACCCATATCCTCAGTTGCACTCCCCTTCTCCAGCAGATAAAGTAGTGGAACTGGATCTGGGTTGTCTAGGTTGTCCGCAAATTCCTCACGCACCGGGAACCTACAAATACGGCCGGCGAGTCGTCGACAAAAGAATTAGAAACATATGATCTACCCACGCCGCCCGCACCTATGTACAACAGAAATCTTTGCACAGATGTCGTCGGGAACCCACCTGTCAACGACGTCCAGTAGAAACTCCATATCCTCTCCCTCCATCACTGGTTTTTTTAGGAACTGAGACAGTGGGGGAGGCCCCACTATCATATATTAATTATCACAACACATTTACATAGTGTGTTACATCATGTACATGGCACCCATCCCACTTTGTGGTGATGGGGTAAAGAGTAAAAGGGGGTGTGCTAATCAGAGGGCAATGAATCTAGAAGTAAGAAGATAAAGTCTTTCTTAATATCTTTAACCCTATACTGTAAAAGGCCAAAATCTTCCTTGAATCTGTTTAGCCAGGATTTGTATGTAGGTTGGATATTTCTGAACAGCTTGTTATTCCTCTCTTTCCATATACTCCAGGAAGCTTGTAGTATAATTTCCATGAATAGAGGTCGATTCCAGCTAATTTTTGCTTGTTCCATCCAGGACAATCTGTTGGCTTGTGGTCCAGGGTCCAAACCAAAAGTGGCCCAGCAGCTTCTACTGAATGGGCATGTGAGGATCATGTGATCAATATCTTCTTTTTGTCCATAGAGTAGGTAGTTAAGGTTAGTACCAATATTGTAGTGTCTTCTTTTCAGCATGTTTCTTGTGTTTAATCTATCCGAAAGTACCAGCCAGCCAAAAACTTTGATTTTGGTCGTGACTTTTGATTTCCATAACCACTGGTACGATTTGTGGGCCCTCATGTCTCTGAAGTAGAAGCTATAATATTTTTTCGCAGAGAATTCTCTACTCCCCCAAGTGTAAGACCATACATCCTTTGCATTTTGACTGTTGTCAAAAGTTATTTGTGCCATAAGGCCTTGCATATCATGTACCTCCTCTAGGGCTTGGTTGGAGAGTGGCAGATAGAACTGTTCCTCTAGGGAGTTGATGGTCAGGAAGTCTTTGACCGAACAATCTTCATTTCTTGCATATGAAAATGCCTTGGGATGTGTGTCTGTGAGAATTTCATCCAGCCAAAGATCTTTCCAGAATAGCACATTGTCTCCAACAAGCATCTGAACCCTTGAGATCCCTCTAAAGATAGGAGATAGTTTAAGAATGTCTTTCCACCAAAATGATCCACATGGGTCAGAGGCATGTGGAATTTTGTCAGTGTAATAAGTGGACCAGATCAATTCAACCCAAGGGAGATCATATCTATTGTAGAATTTGTGTAAGTACTTTAATAGCAACGCATCACTTTGTATCCTGAGGTTTATTATCCCAAGCCCTCCACATTTTTTTGGTCTGCATACTCTGTCCCATGCAGCTAAAGAATTACATTTTTCACCTTGCTCTGTTTTTTTGTCCATAAACATTTCCTTCTCAATTTATCCAACAGCTCAAGTATTTTTGGTGGAAATCGAAGTGTGCGTAGTGCAAAAATTGTCAGGAAGGTAATTACTGTGTTGAGGAGAGATAATTTGGAGCCATATGACATCATTGATAGAGTGGACATTAGCCTTCTTTCCATATTGCAAACGATTGGCATTAGGTCTTGTACAAAAGGTTTAGAGGTTCCAAGAGGTAAACCGAGGTATGTGAAGGGCATTTTCCCTATTTTGCATCCAAAGATTTGAGCAATGTCTTGGGTTAAATTCGCATCACAATTCATAGGAATCAAGGTCGATTTGTGGAAGTTTATTTTGAGGCCAATGGAGGTGGTGTTGGAAATATGCCTTAGAGGCAATAATAAAAGCATTATTATTATATTTCCTTGTTCATGATAATTGTCTTTATTCATGCTATAATTGTGTTATCCGGAAATCGTAATACATGTGTGAATAACAGACACCAACATGTCCCTAGTAAGC